TCCCTCTGCTCCAACTTCAGTTTGATGCCACAACGGGGGACCTTGTGCACATGTGTATGATCACCCAAACCATCTGGGCAAGCTCTTTCATCTTCTAAACACGGCCCTGTGGCTACATGAGCACCTGCACAGTCTGCCCTTGGGTGTATCTGTCACTGAGAACTGTGTAACAAATAGCCCCAGCCTTGGCACTGTCTGACAATAGCCTGCCTTATTTCAGTCTCACAGTTTGAGGGTGTACTGGTCTCAGACAAACGGGCTCACGCAAATTTCTCCTGCAGTTGCTGGTGAAAGGTAACTAAGGTCGGGATCCTGTCCGAAAGTTCCTCACCCACTGGCCCGATGCCTGCAGCAGCTGAGCCCCTCGGGCGTCTTCAGCTCTGCTTGGCTTCTGCCACATGGTGGCATTGGGATGGCCCCACTTGGCAGCTGTTGGCTCTGAAGCCAGTGTCCTGGAGGAGCAGAAGCTGGGGGAAGCCTAGGGGCTTTGGGGACCAGATATGGCAACACAAGGTGGCACTTCGGGGTGATGGGTTGGTTCAAAGTGAATCCCTGAGGCCCGTTGTCAAGAGGAAGGAAGTCAGATATCACCACTCGGGGGGAAGTGTCAAAGAGTTTGCCTGCATCTTTAAAGCCACTGCAGAAGGGTGGGCTCTGAGAACTAGGGGGACCAAGTGCTAGTGCTTCCTTGGTGCGATCCCAGAATCAGAGCAGAGCCTGCTCCACACTCAGCCCTCTCCAGTCTGGTGTTGGTCCATGCCGCAGTGCCTTTGCACACACCACCCCATCTATAGTGTCCTGCCTGCCACCTGCCTCTCTGTGTCTGGATTCTGTCACACTTTTGTTTGCTGGTCCTGACCTTCGGTGCATACCAGCAGGTCCTTGTGGGTGTGGAGTGCAAAGGTGGAAGAAATGGCAATTTTGCAGGAGCTGGGGCTCATGGCGATGCAGATGCCTCTGTATGGTTGGGGACTAGGGCGTGTGGGAGCCCAGCCATGGAGTGGGGCGGGAGGTGTCCGTGTGTCCAGCAGCCAAGCTTGAGCCAGCACAGGATGGCACCTCTCATAGAGGGCAGGGCAAGGGCTTGGCCAGCCCCCCAACCCCTTGGCTATGAATGCCACCAAGTGGCCACTTACATTTAACTCTCAGTGGACCCCAGGGGGTGCAGCCACACCCCCCACACTGTATGCAGTACTAGGATTGACCCAGGGCCTTCACTCTGCTGCATCCCTGGCCAACCCCTGCCTTTTTGAGGCAGGGTCTCACTTTGTAGTTCAAGCTGGCCTCCTCCTGCCTCAGTCTCCCCTGTGCTGGGATCATATGCATGTGCCACCATGTCTTGCCAGGCCCTTTTATTTTTTTTTCTTAGACAGAGTCTCAGGATGTCATTAAGTTGCCCAGGCTGGGCTCAAACTTGGAATCCTTCTGCCTCAGCCTCTCAAGTGGCCAGGATCACAGGACTGTGCCACCATGCCTGACTTCCTAGACTTTCAATGTGTTAAATACGCATTGCATAAAATTTGCCATCCTAGCTGTTTGTGGGTTGCAGGTCGGACACACTCCCAGTGCTGAGCATCGAGCAGCCTCAGGCCAGTGTCTCCTGATCTCGGTGGTCATCACTGTATTTTGCTAAACTCAAATCTACTTGTTCGGTAAACACTAACCTCCACCTCACTCTCCCAGCCCCTGACAGCCACACCCTCCTTTCTTGTCTGTCCTCCCACCCCCACCCCCAACCAGGGATTGAACTCAGGACCTTGCGCTTGCCAGGCAGGTGCAGCACCACTGAGCTACATCCCCGGCTGTCTCTACGATTTTCACCACGTGTGTGTCCCTTAGAGTAAACGTAGGCAGTATTTGTTTTCTGTCTGGCTTATTGTACTGGGCGTCCTGTCTTCAAGGTTTATTGGTACTTTGGCCGACGTCAAAAATTTCCTTCCTTTTTAAGGCTGAGTAATTTTCCGCCCTCTGGTTGTTATAGCACATTTTCTGTACTCATTCATCTGGTGGTAGGCACTTTGGTGGCCTCTATTTTTTTGACTATTCTGAATAATACTGCTGCACATCTTTGTGATGTTGTTTTCAATCTTTTGTTTGTTTTGTTTTTATTTTTTTTGGTACCAGGGATCGAACTCAGTTCCTTGTGCTTGTGAGGCAGTCAGCGCAACCAGTGAGCCAAATCCCTGGCTCTATTTTCAATCTTTTGAGCACATAGAAGTAGAACTGATAGATCAGATGGTACTTGTGTGTGTGTGTGTGTGTGTGTGTGTGTGTGTGGTATTAGGGATTGAAGCCAGGGTCTTTGCATTGAGCTACATCTCTAGACTTTTAGATTTTTTTTTTAAATTTGGAGACTTGGTCTTGCTAAGTCTCTTCAGTTGCCTAGGCTGGGCTCCAAAATGCCATCCTCCTGCCTCGGCCTCTTGAGAGTGCTGCCATGACAGGTGTGTGTCACCACTCCGGGCTCACGCTGACCTTCTTGGTCCTTGTTATTTCCCTGGGTGTTTGTTGAGTGTCCAGGAAAAGCTCACAGGGTTTCCAGGAGGCAGGACTGGGGTAAAGGAGCCGGCACAGCTTCTGACCTGGCAGGGCCCACACTTCGGCTGGAGACCTCAGGCAGGAAGCATGTGAACAGGTCGCTTGTGACTGTGACAGCACAGGTCCCCTAAGGGAAATGGAAGGAGATGGGCAGGGTGTGCCGGGCAGGGCTGTGGCTTGCTGGGCATCAGGGCAGGCATCCTAGGTGCTGTCCCTGAAGCCATCCCTAGTCCCAGGTGGGGCTGGACCTGGGAAGACCTGGAGCCCTCATCAGGCAATGGGGCAGGTTGTGTGGTCCATGGGGCCTTCTGGAGAGGCAGGCTGCCATTTCTAAGTTGCCCGGGCTGGGCTCAAACTTGCAGTCCTTCTGCCTCAGCCTCCCAGAGTGCCGAGAGTACAGGTATGCGCCACCATTTCTGGTTCCCCTCGGGTTTGTTTGTTTTTTGTAGAAGTGGGGAGTGCGGTAGAGATGAAAATCAGAAGCCTGAAGAAGTTTACAGCCAGGGGCTGGAGGAGGTTGCAGTGCAGGAGGAACTGGACTGGGAGGGCAGGGAGGCGAGGGGGGCCCAGCCCCGGAGCCCTATGGCCTTTTATGGTCAGTGCTGAGGGGTGGCTGGGGTCCCAGAGCTTCGTCTGATGTCCCTACCGACTCCTCCAGTCCTTGCTCAGGCTCAGGGCTCCTCTTGTCCCTGTCTCGTCCTTGGGGACTCTCCTGTTTGTCCATGGACACTTGCTCCCGTTACCTGCTGGACACACTGTGGGCACTCCTTTCATAGTGTTCCACTTTACAAATGAAAGCCACGGGACTGAAGTGATTTACCCAACCTGGTCTTAGCAGTGTCCCAGCCACAGCCACTCAAGGCCCCGATACTCCCCAAAAGCGCCCCCTCTGGGCTCTGGCTCAGGACAGAGGACCTTGAGAGGCTGGTGTGCCAGGACAGGGTCTCAGAGCATGCAAGGTCCCCAGTCCGTTCCACTCCCTGGCCTCCCTCCCACGTGGTCCTTGTCCCTTCCTAAGTGAATTAGCCAGGAACTGGGGCCGAGTGCCGGCTGGTGCCTCCTGCTAGGTGCTGATTCGATTTGGGCCTCACAGCTGGGCGGCTGTGGCCAGAGGCTTTTCTGGGAAGGTTGGAATAGTGGCCAGGGGTGGCTAGGGAACATAGGAGCTCCCGGTCCCCAGGAAGCAAACCTCTCAGTGGGGAACCACACCGCAGTCCCCTGGGCCTTCATGCCACAGAGTAGCCCGGGACATCGCCACCAGCCACCTCTTGGCCATTAGCATGTCTCTGGATCTCAGATTTTTATCAAATTGTAACCTGCAAGAGGAGCTGCATTTCAGTCGCTCAGAAGCAAACCCAGTTCATGTTTTGGCCAAATGCTGAACGGGCTGCTTCTTGCAGTCTTTACCCCCAGCCAAAGGGCAGAGCAGAGCTGAGCCCTAACCCCCATGGCCATACCTGTCGCTGAAGTGGACGCTCAGCCCAGGCACATCATGCCCTCTGACCCCACTGGGACCCTGGCTTCCCAACACACCGGAGGCCGGGCTGTGGCTGGGACTGCATGACTCAGCCCTGCACAATCATGGGATGTGAGGCAGGCTCTGGGTATAGCAGTGGCCACAGAGGACCCTGCAGTGTAGTATGCATTAGGCCCCAGACCTCAGGGTCCCCCACCCTGACTGCGAGGGTAGGGAGAGTGGGACCCATGGCTCTCTCCATACCGGCAGCCCCACCTGGGCAGAGCCCTGCCTCTTGGCGCCTCTCTGAGGGACCCAGGCTTCTCCCTGCAGAATCTGCCTGCACCCCTGAGGCCAGCCAAGCACACAGCCAGGAAGTAGGCAGAGGCCCACAGGCCGCCAGCCTCCACCTTGTTCCCCAGGGGTTTGTGGCTTGGTACAGAGCCATGGTGACAGGGGCCTGTGGGAGGCCAGGGAGGGCATCAAGCCAGTGGGGTGGTCAGGTGCCTTCCCAGCAGGTTTGACGGGATGAGCAGAGGGGACAATTCTCAGATGATGCTGGGCCAAGAAGGACGCTGGTGTGTTTATGCGGTGGAAAAGCTCAAAATACTTGCATGTGAGGGGATCTGGGGCTAGGGATGGGAGTTAGGGGCAGTAGGGGCCCATGGGGGAGGCCCAAGGTGTGTACACGGGGAAGCGGAGGTTGGGGCCTGCCTAGTGGTCTGGTCGTGGGGCTGGGCTCCGTGCAGAGGTGATTGGGGTGCACCTGGCCCGACCCACATGCCAGCCTTTGAGCGCCCTAGGGGCTCAGATTCTGTGCTGCACAGGAGGCCCTTGAGGGACAGCAAGGGCAGCCCTTGACTCCGCCCAATTCGGGAGGGCGGTTCTTGGCCCCGCCCACTCGAGGGATTGTTGGTCCTTGGCTCCGCCTACCAGGAAAGTAGGGATGAGCAGCTACCATGTGTGCCCGCCGCCCTCCATTGTGTCCCTTCCTCCCTCCCGCCAGGTGACCATGGCCTTGCTGGGGAAGCGCTGTGACCTCCCCGCCAATGGTTGCGGGCCTGACCGCTGGAACTCGGCCTTTGCCCGCAAAGACGAGATCATCACCAGCCTCCTGTCTGCCTTAGATTCCATGGTGAGTGCCCTTCAGTGGCCCGTTCACCCCTGCACCTCTCTCTGCAGCTGGGACCACAGCACCGATGCAAGGTGGGGAGAACTAAGCGAGGTCCAGCCCTCCACAGTGTAGTCCTGGAATAAGGGCTGGCTCGAGTCCTCCTCCCTGGCCCTCTCTGCCGGTCCTTCCGGGTCACTCTTAGTGGTCACATCCAATTGCTGTGAAGTCACAAGTCCCTCCTAGGAGGTTCCCCAGGGGACACTGTGGGAGGCTGTGCCTTAGGAAGAGTCCCAGATGTTAAAGCAAGAGCCACAAACCAAGCGTGATGACACTGGCCTGTAATCCCAGCAGTCTGGGAGGCTGAGGTAGGAAGATCACAAGTCCTGGGCAATTTAGCAACTTTGTGAAACTGTGTCTCAAAATTAAAAGGAACTGGGGTTGGGTCGGGGATTTTAGCGCTGTGCTGCCGTCTGCCTCGAGTTTGATCCCCAGTACAAAAAAAAAAAAAAAAAAAAAAAAAGGGGGGGTGGGAGCGCAGGGGGAAGGGCCGGGGTTTAATTCCTAAAAAAATTAAAAAAAAAAAAAAAAAAAAGCAGTAGTTACAACAGCATCTCAGGGCTTTGTAAGTCACCCTGACAATGTCACCCACGTAAGGAGACCTGCAGTGTTGACCCTAAAGGAGGAGGTGCCCCGTCCTTTCCCAGGAGAGGTTCTGTGAGAGCAGTGCTATAAAATTTCTCCAGGGTTGGCGTCACTGCCCCACAGCATCTTTCTAGCAGCGTGAGGCCCTGGGTCCCTTCCCCGGCACCACCTTTACACAGCTCCTTTATGTTGTGAGTTGTGTTGTGTGTGGTCCGTGAGCTGTACCGCAGCAGGTGAGGGTGCTGCCGGTTAAGCTCAGAAAGGGTGGCACCTTGACTGACGTCACACAGCACGACCAGTTTGGAGAGCGATGTCCTGCCTGGGGACAGAGGACCTTCTCCCGGATTGTTGCCACTGAAGGTCCAAGGTGACGTCTGGGGTGGAGGTACCCCCCAGGGCCTGGTGTGGGTCAGCTCTCTCCACAGTGACCGCTGCTCTGTGTTGAGCAGCACTGCCAGCTTGGGGGTGGGATGTGGCTGAGTCAGGTGGTGGTGGCCAAAACCGATTTCTCTCCCTCTCTTTCTCTCTCTCTCTCTCTCTCTCTCTCTCTCTCTCTCTCTCTCTTTCTCTCTCTTTCTCTCTCTCTCTCTCTGTACTGTGAGCTCAACCCATACTGGGCTTGAACTTGAGACCCTCCTGTCTCATCCTCCCTGAGTGCTTGGATCATAGGCATTTGCCACCATACCCGCTTATTTATATTAAATTTTGATTAGTTAAAATGAAACAAATACACACTAGCCATTCCCACAGGAGCGTCAGTCCCAGTGTTTCATGGCTGGAGGTGACCTGTGCCACGGTACTGGGCGGAGCACCAAGGAACCCTGTCCTTTGCCCTAGACAGTGATTTTCCCTGGGCAGTGCTGTTGTCCCCAAGGAGGCGGTGGCCCTGTGGCTGCCCTGCTGGCATAAACAAGGAGAGTTCGCTGCCCTGAGCCTTTACAGTTTCCTGCAGGGACATTTTGGAGCATCAGAGGTCCTTGCTGCCAGTGACTTGAGTCCAGTGAGCCCCAGGGTGTCCAGGGCCGGGTTATTCCACAGTCTGCAGGGCCTCGCCCCCAGTCCCAGCCCCTCTTCCCCACTTTTCCTGGTGGCCCTGTTTTCTTGCACCTTCAGGTGAGTCAGTGCCTGTGGTGGCCTTGGCCTACACTGAGAAGGGACCATACACTGAGGGTTTCCTGCAGCCCTGAGGGTCACTCCTTCATAGGAAGCGACTTTGACTTCAGGTTAATGTTCTACAGTGTCACACCTGCAAAATAAAATAGTAGGGTTTTGTTTCCATCGTAGAGAGCGAGAAGTGAACATACCAGTGGGACACCCTGGGGGACAGGCCTGCTGGGCCCCTGCCTCCCACAGTTTCCTTTCAAGGGTGACTCCCAGCTGGAGCTGGCAGAAGAGGCAGGATTATAGCCTAGAGAGGTCAAGCACAGGGTCTCTAGTCAGAGGCCAGGCTTAATAGCAGCCAGCGAGTACTACCAGGCTCAGATCAAAATTAAAGCAAGTGCGGTGAGCACGCCTGCCATCCCAGCACTAGGGAGGCTGAGGCAGGAGTTTCACAAGTTGCAGCCCAGCCTGGGCAACTTAGTGACTTAACAAAATAAAAATAAAAAAGGCCTGGAGACATAGCTCAGTGTAAAGGTCCTGGGTACAGTGCCCAGCGTTGCAAGAAAAAAAAAAGAAAAAAGGCCAGCACGAATCAGGCGGTGGTTTACAGATGGGGTGTCCTGTAGGGGCAGTGACCTCCTGAGGTCCTGGGGGTCTTGGTTGCAGGGGTCCCTGTGCACTGGGGCTGTCAGCCTCAACTCTAGGGCCACAGAAAGCAGCAGTGAGCCGTGGACCTGCAGTGGTTACCCCTGGCAGGGCTTCTTTCCCTCCTCTGCTCCTCACTGAAAGCCCAGCCCAATGTGGACCCAGAGCCCAGAAGGCTGTGACTTGGACCCGTCCACCACAGGAGGTGGCCACGGCGGGGCAGAAGCCTGAAGCGGGGTCCCCTGGGGCTCACACCTCCTCCATCACCTGTGTTCTTGCTGCACCCCTGGGCCAGCCTTGGGTGCTGCATGCATTCCCACTGCACATGCTGTGACCTCAGCAGTGCTGGGCCACCTCCCCTGGCCCAGCAGCCTGGGTCTTCACAGCCAGGAGCTCACATCTGCCCCTCGGGGCCGTGGCCCTGTTCTGGGGTCCCAAGCACACCCCTGCCCCCCACAGTGCTCCGCGCTCTCCAAGCTGAACGCTGAGGTGGCCTGCATCGCCGTGCACGATGACAGCGCCTTCGTGGTGGGCACCAGCAAGGGCCGGATGTTCCTGAGCGCCAGGAAGGAGCTGCAGTCGGACTTCCTCAGGTTCTGCCGTGAGTACCCCGGGTCCTCCTGGTCCCCGCCTCACTGGCCAGGGTAGCCCCATGGGGGCTGAGCACTGTACCCAGGTCCTTCACACTGTCAGCCCCTCAGAAAACAGAGGCTGGCTGGGCCCCCGTCACCTGTTCACTGGGGACACCGAGGCCCAGCACTACTGCCCAGCTCCTGTCTTAGCTGCCCTGTCCACCTAAGACTCAGGGCGTGGGCCCCTGTCCCCCGGGAGCTCCCACGTCTGACATCAGGGTGGCCTCCGTCACTGTCACGGTCGTCCTCAGAGCTGCCTCCTGGTGGCTTGTGGGGACTGGGTGGCTTCATCCCCACCTGTGCGGAGCACTGTGGAGTCAGAGGCTCTGGATGACTGTCACATCTCGCGGGGGAGACCGACAACACTCAGCTGTGGGCCGGAACCATGCAGCAGCCTCGTAAACCCGGTTTGCAGATGGAAAACTGAGGTCCAGGGCCTACACCACTCCCCAGGATTGCACAGTGAGGCCAGGCTGGAGGCGGGCAGGGGGCAGTGCCAGCAAGGTGCAGAGCATGCACCCCTGGGGGCCCTGCTGGAGGTCCTGGGCCCTCCCAGAAAGACCAGCAGTGCAGCCGGGAGCCCGGTGTTCTCTGCAGCCCTCCATGCCTTCTCCGTGCTGGTCCAGTCTTGTGTGCTGCCCACACTGGGCAGCCCCTCCCCAGCCTCCAGGGCCGAGTTCCTAAATCTGCTCCTGCCGGAGGAGAGCTGCACCTTGATGGCGAGGCACGGCCTGGGCACCCAGAGGGACCCTGAAGGCCAATGCCACAGTGGGGCATTAAGGGCCACACTTTGGACTCTAAACTGTGGTCCAGTGTGAGGCTGGACTGATTACAGCCAGATGCGTCCCCAAATCAAAAATCCCAAGCACTGCAAAATCTGAAGCCTTCCAGCACCTGTGGGATGCCGCAAATAGTAAAGCCCACACCCGGGCCCATGTGAAGGGTCCCCATCAGCACAGGCCCACCGACAGCACTGTCCAGCAGTGTGACCCCGGCTCTGTGAGTGGGGCATGAGTCCGTGGTTAGATTTGAGTCCCCTCCTGAAGACAGGGTACTGCTGACTTGCAAATATTACAAATCTGAAAAAATCCCCCAATCCAGGACACTTCTGCTGCCAGGCATTTTGGTTAAGGGAGGCCTCGCCTGGCCTCAGCCCACTGCTGTGTGGGAGCTGGGTGTGTCTGAGGATTTACCTGCGTGGTGCCCAGAGCCCTGACTGTGTTCACACCCAGTGGATACCAGCCTGGTCCCCAGGGCCAGCGTTTCAGGGATCAGCATCTCCAGGCACTGGGAGTATTGTTAGTGGATGCTCTGTTTCCCAGCCAGCCCCCTTGCACCTCTGGCGCTCACAGGCTTCACGAAAGGATGGGTGGGTGGGGCGGCTGAGTGAGGCGATGGGCGTGGTCTGTGGGCGGGGTGGAGTTTTGGTGGTGGGCGTGGTTGGCTGCTGCACTGGGCGTGCTCAGCCGAGGAAATGAGTGTGGCAGAGCGCAGTGCTCCAGGCCTCTGGGGCTGGGGCCAGGCTGAGGCCTGGGGAAGGGGCACCTGGCTTCCCAAGAGCCAGAAAGAGCCACTATTTATAGTGCCAGGAACTCAGCTCATTTATTTCAAGCTTCACAGATTCCAAGGGAGAGCAGGCTCCAAGCTGGGAGGGGACAGCACGGCCCTCAGTCCTTTCTGTCGCAGAGTCTGTCGCGTCCCACAAATGTCCCCAGCTCCCTACATGACCCCCAGCCTGGCATGGAGGCCTCTTTGCAGGATGGGGAGGGTGGGTAGCTGTGGGTTGAAGCCCAGGTCCGAGCCAGGCACACATTCCGGTAGGGGTGGCCGGCGGTGAGACCCACAGCCGTGCCTGGGGACTTCGCAGGTGCCTGGGCAGGACTCCATCCCTTCCTTCCTTTACCATTCTCTGTGCTTGAAGTCAAGGGTTGGCTTGGAGCTGAGCCTGGGCGGAGACCTCCCAGTTGGAGGGCTGGTTTTGAGGTGTCCCCTGGTGACCGGCACGCTGTGTCCCACAGGAGGACCCTTATGGAAGGATTCGGAGGCAGAGCACCCCAAGAAGGTGCTGCGGGGCGAAGGCGGCGGCCGTAATGCCCCCCGGTCCTCCCTGGAGCACGGCTCAGACGTGTACCTGCTGCGAAAGATGGTGGAGGAGGTGTTCGATGTCCTCTATAGTAAGGTTCAGCCCCTTCCCGGCTGCCTCCTGACCCTGCTCCCTGCCACTCCGTCTCCCACAGCCTCCGCTCCTTCCTGCACCCACCAGGGGCCCCTCCCAAAGCACGAGTCTGATCGGAAGTTGTGTCGGTAGCCGGCATCACACCTGAGGCTCAGCCCCAGAAGCCTTCTCCTCTGGGCAAGGGCCCCGTTGGCACCTGCTGTGCCCTGTCCCCTCCCTAGGGAATATGTTTGCCCTTTCTGGCTGTCCCCAGCTTGCAGTTAAGGGCCCAGCAATAGTGTGTGCTCAGAGCATGTTTGTTGAATGACTGAGTGAAAGCTGAGGGTTCAACCAAGTCTCCTGCAGTGGGAGGAGAGAGACCTGGCCTGGTCTCCCTCAGGAAGTGTCAGATTGCAGGGAGGCCCAGTTATGACCTTCGTACTCACTACATGACCTTGGGCCGGAATCTCCCCTCAATTATTGCTCACTTGCTGTTTTTCCCTCTCTCTGCCACAGCCTTGGATCTCGGAGGAAACTGCTTTTGTGATGGCAGAGGAAGCCGAGAGGGCGGGCGCAGGGGCCCTGGTGGGCACACTGGCTGGGATGGGAGGCTTGACACACCTGGCTGGCTGTGCCATCTGGGCCCCTACACCCCTGCCCACCATGGGTGGAACCAGGGCCTGCAGTGTAGGGATGACCACATGTGTCCAGAGTCCAGGCTGTGTGACCCTTCTCTGTCTTCTGCTCCTCCTCACTCCCACGCTCCCCTGTCTGTCTGTCTGTCTGTCTGTCTAACTGTCTCTTTTCCTAGCACAGGGGGTTGAATCTGGGGCCTTTGCACTGAGCTACAGCCCCAGCCTTTTAGATTTAATTCCTTTTTAAATTTTGAAACAGAATATTGCTCTGTTTCTTGAGCTGGCCTCAAACCCGTGACCCTCCTGCCTCAGTCTCCTGAATCGCTGGGATTACAGCTGTGCACTCCTGGCTTCTCCCTCGTTTTCTGAGTCCCTCTTTTTTTCCTTTTTGACTCCTCCCTCCTCCCTCATCCTCTCTCTGTTCCTCCCACAGCTCCCTGCCTGCCAACTCAGTGCCAGCCCTCACTTCCCTGTCTCTGCCCCATTTTCTCTCTCCCACCAGTGTCCTCCTTCCCCAGGCCCCTCTCTGGCTCCCACTTTCCCTCCCCGTGCCTGAGTGGCTGCGGGCAGCGGGGAGCCTCCACCCTGGGTCCAGGGTCCAGAGGGCAGGACCCATCTGTGCACTTGTGGGGGCTGAACGTCCATGGCCGCCCGTCACCCAGTGCTGGGCCTCTGTCCCCCCACAGGTGAGGCCCTGGGCACGGCCAGCGTGGTGCCTTTGCCCTATGAGCGGCTGCAGCGGGAGCCAGGGCTTCTGGCTGTGCAGGGGCTGCCCGAGGGCCTGGCCTTCCGCCGGCCAGCTGAGTACGACCCCAAGGCGCTCATGGCCATCCTGGAGCACAGCCATCGCATCCGCTTCAAGCTCAAGAGGTGAGCAGGTGGTGTGGAGCCGGCCAGAGGGCAAGGTGAGGGGTGTCGGCCCCGGGGAACGTGTGTCTCTGAGCGGCCCCCACAGCCCTGGCCTGGGAAGGTGCACCAGAGATGGTCAGGGATTGGCCAGCAGGCTCGGCTCGTGTGTGGCGCTGGTCAGGGGTGGGTGGGGGGTACAGAGGGCCGGGCTCCTGGGTCCCAGAGCCGCCTGGGGCTTCATACCGCTGCCCACTGCGGGGCTGTGGGACAGTGCTGTGCAGGAAGAGTGGGCACAGATGGGGCCCAGAGGTGGCCACTGAGGACATGATGGATGGGTGGGCACTGTGCCTGCCAGGAGGGTGTGTGGGGCACGAGCTGAGATGCAGAGCCCACACTGGTGTCCCCAGCTGTTCCTTCATCCTCCTCTCTGCCCAGGCCTCTGGACGACGGTGGGCGAGACTCCAAGGCCCTGGTGGAACTGAACGGCGTCTCCCTGCTGCCCAAGGCGTCCCGGGACTGTGGCCTGCACAGCCAGGCCTCCAAGGTGCCCCCCCA